GCTGGGTGTTAACTAGAGCAGCTCACGGCTCTCCTGGGCCCTGCGCTCATTTTCAGACCTATATAACAAGCTTTGTGTGTCAGGCAAACGACTCCCAGTTGACCAGCCTTTATGTCTGAATGGGAAATGTTTTAGACTGGATGATCAGCTATTCTTAGAGGTTTTCTCTGTTCAGAAGTCGATCTGATAGTGTATAATTTAAGCCATTAGCTACAGGAGGCCATGCTATATTGAGAATGTATGGCTGAAGAATGTGTTCTGCGCATCATTTACATTACAGCACAACCTCAAATGGATTATTGCATTAATGGTTACTGCATAAAAAACGTTAAGCACAAACACTTAAATTAAACTTAAATTAAACCCATTCCTTAAAGACTTAAGAATGGCTTTGTCGATATTTCTGTTGAAACATTATCAAAGGCATTATCAGAAAAAAAAAAAGTGCATTTAGTTTGCATCACACATGATCTGCTTGCTATCACTAGTCAATTGCAGGTGGTGTTGGGGTGATATATTTATTAATTTTATAAACCTTTAGGAGTAAATATCTAAAAGTGTTATTTAATTTGTTTTAATTTTATTTATTTAAAATATTTCCTTTCACATTTTAATGTAATGGTTTCATTTCATTTATTTTATTATTTATTATTTTATTTTATTTTATTTTTTGTTTTAGTATTTTACTCAGATTTTTGCACTGTTATTTTAGTATTAATTGGATACAAATGTAGTATTTAATTAATCTTTTGAATTGTTTTTATTTGTATATTTTCAGTTTATATACTTTTCGTTTAAGTTTATGTTAGTTTGTTTTAGTAGTTTTGTGCTTTTATTAGTTTTGGATACTAATTTTAGTACTTCAACTTATTTTATTTAACTTATTAAAAAATAGTTTTTTTTAAAGTTTTTATATATATATATAATATAATTTCTGCTATATTCCAATTGACAAAATTATTTTTAATAGTTCTAGTTTTAGTTAACAATAACAACGCTGAAACTGTTTTGATTTAATTTAATATTTATAGCACAATTATTCTGCTGGTCCCTGATATTAGGGGTGGGCGATCTTACCAAAATATCATATCACGATCTTGTCACACGAAATCACGATCCACAATCTGAATCGCGATCTTCCCAATTTTGGGATGTACTATTGATAATATCCAGAGTGGAACAAGCCTATGACTTACCTATTTGAACAATTTAAAACACAGTATTGCATTAAACAACCAAAATAGACATTAAAGCCTGAGTTACACTTTAAACACTGCATCACTGTATGAATCAAATATACTTTGCTTCTTATTAAAGTTATAAAGTGATTCATTCAAGAGCAGTGAGTGATTTTCTCTGTCTTTTGTAGTTTGATTAACATTAATGATACAGACAGCAGTAGGTTTATTACCTGCTGTCTCTTTAAGACCGAATGCACGGATCTAATATACTGACATGCATCCTATTTCTTTCCCAATTGTTTGTTCACTTAAGACATAACTGACTGTCTTTATGTAAATACTTGCCAAGACAGACATTTATACATATTATTGTGTATATTTGACCATTCATGCATGTGCCTGAAAATCCACATATACTTCGCTTGTTCGTGTTAGCGCCGCCTCGGAGCGCGTGCACAGAAAGCACCTGGGGAACAGTCTCTTTCGCAGTTAATGCGCTTTTAATAACTCTTTTTAAAATAAAGCATGTCCCACAGTAGACTACATTTTACGACAATCACATTGCATGATTAGACTACGTTTAGGAATTAGGGCTGTGCGATTTGGGGGGAAATATCATACTGCGATTTTTTTGACAGATATTGCAATTGCGATTTCAAATTTGCAAAGTCAAGCTTCAGCTCAATATTGTCAATAATGTGCAGCACAGTATGGGTATCATTACCCTGCTGAAAACAAGTGGAAAATGTGCTGAATGTTTCATTTCATCCAAGTGAAATTAGCAAGCATTTAGACTGAATTTACATTCGTTTTAAACGCGGAGCCAGGCGCGAGTCGACACAGGTTGCGCGGTGCGGAGCCGGGTGCGAGTATAAACGAGCATTACGAGACACGCTGTGTGTGCGGCAAGCATGAACGGCTCGTCCGTGACGCGGGATTCGCGCCGCGTGGGGCAGAGAGGAGCGAGTATGAGAAGCATTCACAGACACAGCCTGTGTGTGCGCTCTTCTGAATTGGGAATAGCCAACATGCATTATAAACTTATTTCAAATTAATCTGTTGGGGAGATAAAATGTGTAAAATAACGTTCACGTACTAACAAAAACATCTAAGAATGTATATTTTATTCTCCAGTACTGAAAACAGAACCGATAAGGGAGCTTTTTTGTTCGTTGTCTGTCATTTCGAAGCTTAAATTGCATACGGTTTTCTTTAGTTTTAATTTGCCTAACTATCGATCTGACCCAGTAGACGCCATAATCCCACTCTGTCTCTCTCCCGTCCCGCGTTCCGTTTTTTTTTAATGGTGGGTGTTTACGCAGTTGGCTAGAGCAGTGCTGATTGGGGAGAACGGAGGTGCGCTCACTCTTGTCCAGGGCAAGTATTGCAACTCAAGGCTGGCAGTCATGCATATGCTCTGGAACAGAGTAATATCGCGTCCATATCGCAGGCTTTGCGAATAGGAAATAGCAACGTCTCAAATCGCGATTTCGATTAATCGCACAGCCCTATTAGGAATCTTACAGCTTGAAATGACTGAAACAGCTTGCGGCACAAATCGAAACTGAAACTAAAATTTGTTTAATCGCAGTATACTGTTAGCTCACGTTGAGTTGTTTTTTTTAAATACATCTCCACGCATGAAAGACACTTGATAGAGACGCGTGATATAATTTGACCAGCCACAGTCATCTAATAGGCAGTCATTGCTGTAGTTTTAACCAGGGGTGTCATGCACGTATTATTTTTGAGGGGGTATCTCGATTCTCAAATATGCGTAAGTAAATGCATTTTGCACCTTTATAGATTATGTTAGTTGATCTACTGTATAATGGGCGACGGGCAAATTATATTAGTGTAATCGATTAACTACACATAAAATCCGTATTTTTAATTAAGTAGGCCTACCAGATATGGGTGTCATGCCATAAAATATTTTAATACGATTGACACTGTATTTAGCGTGAATTTAATAAAAAGCATAGTAAGTTAGCCAATTATAACACTTTCATTGTACAGAAAGAGAGCAAAGAACATTTACATTATCAAAGAACATTCTCATTGACGTCTAGCCAGAATTCAAGCACTCTCAAAAACTCCAGGTATAATCACTTAAGTTGTTTACACAGTGAAATGAATCTCTTACTTACCTTCATACGCACATCTGCACTTGTTTCTGACGAGAGCAGAATTCAGTCATCTGAAAGCCTCTGATTGGCAATTGCATTCATAAGCTCAACAGAATCGTGTGTGATTGGTTATAATGCTCAGCGCTGTCTGTCTCTGCCTTAGCGCCAGCCAGGGAACGCAGATTTGAATTTAGCAGCTAGTGATATGTCGCACTTCACAACCGTGTGTTTTCTCTTTTGGAAGCTGCATTCAAAATCCACTTGGCTCAGAAATCTGAAGGGGCACGTGTTTGCCCTCGGTTTGAATGGGCATGACGCCTCTGGTTTTAAAGGGGTCATATGATGCGATTTCAATGTTTTCCTTTCTCTTTGAAGTGTTACAAGCTCTTGGTGCATAAAGAAGATCTGTAAAGTTGCAAAGACTAAAGTCTCAAATCCGAAGAGATATTCTTTATAAAAGTTAAGTCAACCACGCCTACCTAAAATGGCTCGCTCTAACACGCCCCCACATGTCTACGTCACGATGTGGGAAGATCAGCATAACCCCGCCCAAATGTTCACGCAAAGAAAGAAGGCGTAACTTTGATTCTTGCTGTAGTATTTTTGTTGCCGTGT